AGGGAAGTCGGGAGGGAGGAAGCGGTCCGTATGCACACATACGGACCAAAGAGCTACGCGGCCTTGTCGATGCTGGGGCCCCGGGTGAGGAGGAAGTGGGGGAAGAGAGGGGAGGAAGGGAGGGAGGAAGGGAGGGAGGAAAGAGATGTGTAGGAGGATAAAGGGTGAGGTCCTACCGGTATTTGTAGCAGGGAATCATCCATATCAACCTCTCCGTTTCCTCCTCTTTCTTCCTCTCCCTTTCCTCCTCCCTCCTCCTCCTCCTCGTCGCGTCTCCCTCCCAATCCCTCCTCTCCATCCTCATCCCTCCTTCCCCCCTCATCCCTCCTGCCCTCCTCATCCCTCTCCAAAGGCCTACACAGGACATCCCTCCCCCCTCTTCCTCCTTCCCCTCTCCCTCCATCAATCTCGCACCGACCTCCTCTCCTCCCTCCGCCGCTACCTTCCTCTCCTCAATCTGGCGTCTGCGCCCGGCGGCCAGGGAGGAAGGTAGGAAGGGGGAGAGAGAAAGAGAGGGGAGGAATAATTAACCTGATAAGTATATGAGTGGTGCATATTTCGATGCTTGGAGGGCAGGATGGACGTGCAGCGTTGACGAGTCGGAAAGAGGGAGGGAGAGATGGAGGGAGAGAGGGAGGGAGGGAGGAAGGGGGGGGCAGTAGATTGTCAGATATGGGCCAGCACGGTCTGGAATCCGACCTCCAGGGGGAAGAGGGATGGTGTCCAGGAAGAGGGTAGGGGAGTAGAGGAGGGCGACCGCCAACCACGCGACGGAGCTCGGTGGAAGTAACGGAGGAAACATCAGGGAGAGGACCCGGCACATACCTGGGCTCGACCTCCCTTTCCAACTCATCCCCCTCCCTCCCTCCCTCCCTCCTCCAGGGACATCCTCCTCCTCGGCCTCTACAACGTCGGGGAGGTAGCGGGGGAAAGGGAGGGAAAGCTGCGAGAAACGCTCTACCACATGGAGGAATCGATCAAGCAAGAGTGGAATACTTTGCTGGATCGCTTCGTCCTGACCCCTCACCTCATCCTTCCGTTCCCTGTCGAGGAGGAGGAAGAGGAGGAGGAAAAGGGAGGGAGGAAGGGCGGCCGATGGTTGAAGGAGCTGGTGGGAGAGGCACTGGAGAGTGGGAAGGGAAGGAGCCGGGAGATCCCCGAGCTTTTTGCCGAGATGGAGATGTCATTGATGAGGAGGGAGGGTGGGAGATTCGGGGTGGAGGAGAGCTTCACGAGGCAGAGCGTCTTCACAGGTACGCGGAGAGGGAAGCAGGGAGGACGAGGGAGAGGGACGAGGCGGGAGCAGGGCACAGAAAGGGAGAAAGGGGAAGAGAGAAGAGAAAAAAGGGGAATAGGGAGGAAGAGAGGAGGAGGAAGGCAGGTTCTGGAAGGCCGAAGGGAAGGAGAAGGATGTGAGGGCGAGGCGATGGGGCTGAATGTCTCCATCTGTACCTTCCAATCTCATCACTTCACACGTGCCCCCCCCCC